TTACCGAGCCTGTTCTGAACTTTCATCCTCTTGAGATTTCAATACAGCCGTTTGTGCTGCACACACACTGGCTACTTCGGCCAGACAGAGACTTGATCCATATGAAGGTAAACAGGCGAGTATCAACGGCTCAGTTCCGTGTGTGGTGACGTTCTCTCCTTATCAGACGACTTACCACACTTGGTTCGCAAGGCATTTGAAAAGGACAGCAAGTAAGCGGCTGCATGATGCTCCCAGTACTGAGCAGTCGACGATTGCTTGTTCACCTTTGTATAGATCACGACTGTACTTCAAGCTCGGCAAGTGTGACACTTATCTGATTCAGCCTAGCAGTGGTGTGCTGAGCGGTATGTGTAGAGCTAGTTGACTTGTGTATAGACAGTGGCTGTGCGGTATAAAACAGACCCAATTGGGAACTTTAATGCAATTTTTTGTACTCCCATTGATGTTATGATTATGAGTAGACAACGTTTTATCGTGCAAAAAAAAACGCGATGTAATCGTTTTTTGAGACTGCGTGTGCGACCTCCAAGCTTGTGTTTGTACGTTCGGTGCGGTGAAATGCCCTGTATAAGCAAAATTATAGAATCCTTGAGCTATATGCTGCAAGGAGTGAAAACAGCAGTCCGCCCGCATTCTTCCCTCTTCTGTATACTGTGCAAATGCAGACGGACGGGCACTTTGGATGCTTTGCTCTTAAAGGCCCCACATAAAGCACACTGCTTAATACGCATCAATTATTGTGAAGTGTTCGCGGATTTGGCCTTTAAATGTCATGCACATAGGAAGCACAATGGTGATGTAAAGTATGCCGAAATCGTAATGGTGCACTTTAAGGTTTTACAGGGTATGTTGTGCAAAATGCGGGCCAAATTGTTTGTGTCAAAACTTTACATCGCCCAAAAAGAGGTCTTGTGTTGTCCTAGGCCAGGGGCCTATTTAGAAAAATTATTACAAAACAATGTAGCTAATAATGTGTATATCTGCTGATTATTTTTTTTTCTCTTCCAATTACAGCATACACGGAGGGTATCTCCAAGGAGAAGGGGTCGGATTATGTAGAGAAGCTAGTGCTTCTCTCTATGGGTACAAAGCTGTCCGAAATAAAGTCGGAATGGAAAAAGCACCACCAAGTACTGCCTGGTCCTAGCAGCCACAATAATGAACACAGAATTCAGAAAAACCTAGGCAGGCAGCTACACGTTTTGAGTTCGCAGTGACATTTGATTATGATCACAAATATTCCTGCTTTGCTCAAAGTCGCATAGTTTACACACCATATTGGTTATGGTTAGCGCAGCAGGAATATTTTTTTATCATACTTAAACGTCATTGTTAATTGAACAAATGTGGCTTTCTGTGTAAGTCCTTTGTGTTTTTACTCTTCTTTATTTGTGTGTTCGTTATTTCATTTTTTTCTTATGATTTAGTCCGGGTTTCTGTTACTTATGTGTTCATTATTTATTTATTTTCTCTTTTATTAAGTTTTAGTTAAAAATATGATGCCCTCGTCATTTTCCAGTCCGGGAAACGGTGGTGACCTCGTCGTGTTCAAGGAGCAGTAATGAACTTTTCATCTTGTATTGCTTCCGGCGAACAATGGTGTCTGTGCGTGTGTGTTGGTCACAAGGGATGATTTCGGGACTGAACGGAAAAACAAGGCCAGCGAGGAGCGACTGGGGGACTTTGAACATCGCACGGTGCAAGGAAGGACTTCAACGACGAGGCTAGCAAGCAAGCCCATGTCAAAACTGCTGTGCTCGACCGGAGAGTTGAATCAGAACTTTACCCTGTGAGTAAGGATCAACGACTTTGGAACTTTCGTATAGTTTACAGCTTAATTGTCGCCTTCCTTTTGTTTTATTTTAATAGGAGTCTGTGTGGTATTACATTTTTAGTTTATTTTAATGGTTTTTAGTGTGAAAGGCGGAAACGGCGGAAGTGCTTGTTTAGAATTTTTGCGCTTTTATGTATAAAACTTTTTTTGCAAACCATATTATCTGTCTGCTCCCTCGACAACCAATCCCGCCAAAGGGCTGTGACTTTCAGACGTCGAATGATATGTTACAATGTTTGCTAACTAGCGATCGCCTGCATTTTATTTTTGTAGCATACATACTTGTCGGAATTACAAATTTCGAACCAGGCCAATAAAGATTGGTCAGTGGCCCATTCTGCCGATGTATCTACGTAAACACAGGTTTGGCAGTGTGGGATAGCAGTAAAATGTATATTTTGTAGATATTCATAGAAATGCATTATATGATCCCATGTCTGGACCTGAAAGTATGGTACCTGCCCCATGGCAATAATTTTAATGTGATGCTAGGAGCCTCACATGAAAATTGCTTTATATGAGGTGGGTACCCTATTTGCCAGGCCCAAAGACGGAATCATATAAAGCAGTCTATATATGGTATAAAAGGAATTGGGCAGATATGGCTATATCTATCCATATACGGCCTGATTATGCATATGTGGGCATATCTGCCCAATTCCTTATATATCAATATCTGTATTTTCATTATAACTCTAGATATGACATTTTTGTAAGGGATGGCTCGTAGCATCAGCTGCAGTACATCGGAAGGTGAAACAGTAGGTGTGTCACTCTATTAAACTATTTCTATTATATTCAGGTGTTGCCTGATACGGTTTAATATACGGTTGGACCCACTCCGGTGAAGCTCTACGGATTGGCCGGATACGGTTCAGCTTCCGCTTCGACCAATTACGGTTGGGTTTCCGGACTGGGTATTTCCGGATCATTTACGGTTTCTAGAAATCCGGTTTGCTTAGGGGCCCATATGACGAATTAAAATTCCGGATTCATTCCGGTTTATTTTTAAACCGTTTTTTTTTTTGTAGGGATGATGGCAGAGCACCGTTTTTACTCGAGTAAGAGCCGCACTATTTATGAACAGGGCTTTTCGTGTCTGCTATCTCACATGACACAAATACAGCCCATCATTGCGTTGCGCATAAATAACATAACGAATAACCAGATCGAGAACACGATTCTCCATACAGATGCAATCTATACAAATGGTATCTTCGCACGAAAACATTATCTCTGTCTTGTAAACAGCTGAACTCATGCTGTAGATGGCGGTGATTGGCTATCTGCGTGCTCCGCGGAAAGGCGAACACTCGGGTTTTCTCCTTAAACAGTGCGGCTACTACTCGAGTAAATACGGAACTGACATGAGCGGCCCTTGGGAGCTAATCGCGATAGACTACCAGCTCGTGGCACGTATCTTGAGCGTTTTCACAACCGTGTTTGCCTGCACTTCTAAGCATGAACTTAATCAAGGGAATTGAACCCCTCTGTGTACTGCCTTAACCACCCTGAACAAGCGTTACGACCACTGTCATTGAAACTGCGTGCCAATGTACCAATATGGAACCACTGCGGTTCGCTGATTTAAAAACGTTTAGCTTACGATAAGTAGACGCTTGCTTATAGAAATGTGTTTCTTGAGAAGACAAAGAAGTTTTCTGCGTAAGTCCCTGAAGGCAGGGGACTTCAAGTCTTCTAGTTCCAACTAACCTGGAAATTGCTGAACTCCAGTTTAGAAGGGCGGTGAGTTGAGCCAGTTGCTACGGGTTCAGCATGATTAAAATCAGCTTTTCAGCTACTTTCCTGTCTTCTGTTTTCTTCAACAGTTTTGTTACGTTGTTCGCTGATTTTAATCATGTTGAATACTTAAATTCAACCCCGAAGCCAACAGGTCAACGCGGTCATATTCTTGCTAAAACGAGTAAAAACGCTGTAGGAGGGTTGAGGTTGCAGCAACTCCACCGAGCTGAGATGGAAGAGAGAAACTACAGCCTAATGTGAAGGCCGTGAGAACGCGCACCTTTTCTTTCTAGCTTGGCCGTGGCTGCTATTTATCGGTTTTGTCAATGATAACACACGCAGATATAGGTAAGGAACTCCATGAGTTCGCTCTCGTGAGACCTATTGAGTGACCCTCTTGGACCTTAGTCTGGGCTGCGCTTTGACTTAAATTTAAAACAAATTATAGCTGAAAAAAATATGAGCGAAGAAAAGCACAGTCAGCATTTTATGTAATTGAAAGGCTCATTTGGTACAAGGTTATAGTTCGAAGAACCATTTAAAACAATAAAGTGTACTGCTTTTGAATGCAATGCTTGAGTTATTAGCGAAAGAGCACCGATTCCTTTTTGTTGCTAACTCTTTCGGGCAGTAGGCATCTATTCCTTTTTCTGTCATTGAATTTTGCCCTGTCTTAGCATCGTATGTTGGTTCGTGCAATTATTACGAATTTGATTGCGTAGAGGTCAAGTTGACCCAATTTTTTTATTTTTTTCTGGCAGGATTAAATTTGTAATGTTGCATCATCATGAAAGCACATCATCAAACCTACATATCGTTGAGCGCCTCATTCACACTGGACGAATCGCATGATTAGGAGTATTTCGAATTTAGTTCCTTTTGTGAATCCTTCCTATTGTTATTACTAGGCTAAAAAGTTTAACTGCCATTACTTCCCAGAAACGTTTATGTTATGTGAAGCCTTCTTGTCTTCGTTGTTTTAATGACGCAAGTTCCTGTTCTGCTGTACTTTACCTCGGTCGTCGAAGTTTTCAAAGCTGCCCAATGTTACATAAATATTTCGGATAATTCTTTAACGTGCCTGTATTAAGCAATCCCAATGCACATGACAGGCTACGTGTTGTTTTAAACACAAAAGGAAGCGCCACACGTAGTGTTCTCTCGCGACTAGTACAAGTTCGTCAAACGAAAATTGACGACAGAAGCGAAAACTCAATCAGCTGAGGAAGACAATCTCTGCCTTGTTGAGATATTTACTATTTGATCCCTGGTTTTGCATAAGACCGTGCTTTCATGTATTAGGAATTCAGCTGGTAGGTTAAAATATTGCGCATTTTTACGTCCATTGTGATTCCGATTTTACCAGATTAATCCATACATAAACAGTGAGTTACCACGAGTGTTAAAACAAACCGCTTACAAGTTGTCTTGGTACTTGTCGAAAATATAGTCTTTTGTGCAGTTCGAAAGCATGGGAAGAGGCTTCTCTGAAGTGTCAAGGCTCACGAGATATCCATCTTCGCCAAGACATTGTGGTGCTTCGTGACCCTCGTCCCAGGGTGTGCCTAGACTGAATAAAAATGACCTTTTTGAAGAAAATGCAACACCACATCGACTATACAAGACGGAAAGCGAACTTGATTACTTTTTATAAATCAACTGTGCAGAGACTTTCGTGCCCTCAATCACTGCTCCCGATTGGAGTTTCGGTTAAATTGAGTTATGGTTAGAATCACCAAGAAAGCGCGTGTTCGTTTCAAACAAAACAGAAAGTAACAAAAACATAAAACCTATGTTCTAAATATCAACGGTTAGTACCGCCATCCTTGTAAACCTTTTCCGAATCACCGATTGACTCTCTCGGAATCGCTACCTCTGTTAGCGAAAAATCATTAAAAAATAACAGAAACTTCATTGAACATCACATAAAGCGCGAGACTGCAGGTTAACCCTGATCACAATGTTTTGTCTGCGTAGTAGGGTGGCTTCATTTTAATTCGACCAACCTTATCAGGCTGGGTCTTCAAAATTATGTGTAAAAAAATAATTGTGAAATGCCCAACACTGTGATTAACAAAACGCTTTAAAAAATTAAAAATATGCAGTTTGAGAAAAACAAAATATGGAATGCTGCCGGGTGGAGTCCGTGAAATTCGCGATTGTATTTTTGGTCGTGTTTAGAGGGTCTTTGCAAAATGCTGAATTTTCACTTGATCATAATACTTTTTACACTATAGGTATGCAATGCGGGTTGTTTTTTAAAGAATAAAGTGTTTCTTTTACAGTTTTTATTAAGCAAACATGCCACCCAGAGAAATTTTGACTAACATTGGGATAACTATACCGAACGAACGGTATGAAGCTACGTATCGATATATGTCATGAGACATATATCGATACGTACCTATTTAGTTGAGCTATCGATTGATATGCGCTTCTTTTTATTAATATTATTGTAAAAATTCGATTTTGTCCCAAATATGTACAAAAATTTAAAATATGGAAATTTTGAGATTAATTTACTCAAAAAGATCAAGTTTTTTTCTTTGATTTTTTGTACTTTATAGCCCATAAGCTTTAGGAGTACTGTAGATAAGCCTTGGGTGTAATATTTTAGTTGTATTTTGGTGAAAACTAGTTAAATCATTCAATTTTAAGCCTGTCACTGAATCCTTGGTTCAAGTATTCTGGCTTCACCACAATACTACTGGTGGTCTCAGTAGTAACATATGGTTTTAGACGCCAGTTAATCAAGATCAGTTTGCCGTTATACATGCTCACGACAACCCCTGGACCATATGAGACAATTTACGGGGGGGGGGGGGGGAGGGGCAAAATGAATTATTCATGTTAACAGTAATGCCTCCTGAAATATGTTCGGGGACGAGCTGACATGTCCCAAGTTGTGGCAGGTGAACGTTCTTATCTTAGAAATTGCTGTCGCGCAGTGTGACATAAAGACGTGTAATTCAAATATAAACAGTAAAGAATCACTTCTGATGCAGCTCATAATCTATATTCTGAAATCATGAAAATTATGTTTTCCACTTATGAACGCACGGACATTGTTTTTGCACAAACTTGAACTGTTTGAGCTATGCAGATAACTTTATTTTGCTTATAAACTTACATACGTAAAGCAAAGTTCAGCTGAAAAAATGAAAAAAAAACACGCTGGTATCAGGAGACAAAGAAACACTTGATTTAACTACTTATGAATTCACGTCAATAAAATACACATACACACGTTGATCATTGTGCTCAACGCTCCCCCGTGTGTCCATGGAGAAGATCTGACAAAACGTCTGCAATTTGCCGAGAGAGTTAACAAAGTTGCACAGTGTGAAACATCGTGTAGGCGCTAAAATACCGGCTATGCAGTTCGCTGAAGACGCACTTAACCTTCTTCGAGTCGCCTCAGGTGTGAGAAGCGGATTGCCTTTTGAGCCGGTATGGATCCCTATTCGGCTCTCTTGGTTTTGAAGAAATCACTGGCGTCGTCTCTTTTAATTCAGGCGAGCAACTTTTTGAGTTTTTTTTAGACATTTTCCCACCTTGTGCACAAAGTCCATTGAAGTGTGTATGGCCTCATCTACAGGCGAACGGAGGTGTGCACCATCGCCTGATGCTTCAGTAGCCCCCCTACTTTATTACAGGCGTTCTTGCCGTGTCCTGGGGCAGAAAAAACCTACTTCACCATCGGAAGACCGGCTCGTCGGAACTCGTAGAGCTGAAATCGATGCTTAAATTGAGCTGGTGCACCGTCAGATATATACGTTAATAACATATAAACTGGAGTGTAGCTCTCCGGCCTGTCCTCATTTCACTTCAGAGCGAGTACCGCGCGGGCAGTTTCATGGCACAGGTCTTCAGACACGACACCAAAACATTTGGGACCTTGCGAGGTCAACGCAACAGATGTTAACGCTGAGATTTGGCACTTGTGCCATTGATGTTCTTCTATTTCATGTGGCAGGGTCACCGTCCAGTTCTCCGCAAAATATATAATTCATGAAAATATGTCTAGTGGTCAACTTGCTCTTCTCAATCCAAACAGCTTCCCGTCGACTTTTACGGATGAAGTCGCGAGTCGAAAATACTTGTGGCTCATTTTTGCACCTCTTTCAAGAAGACGTTCTATTCCGCCAGTTCCATTCACAAAATTAAAAACCTCCTACGTGAAGAATCTAATCTCCTGCTCTGAAACATTTGTTATTTTTTTGCCGTGAGGAGAGTCGATCAATGCTAGGGCATTTCTTGCATCTACCCTGTAAACAATTGGGCATTGAGTCTGGGCAACGGCAGAAAGCGAAAATATCCTCAGCCATTATTTTTTCTTCCCACACGCTGTCGAGGCAAATTAAGCACAAGCCACAATTTGTGCAGCACACGCGTGCACACACGGTTTGCTCAGGGTTCAGCTTAACCAATTTTTGTCACAGCGAATGAAATTTGGTCAGTCCTAATTTAGAGTCCGGGTTAGTTTTCTTAAACAAATGGTAGGCTACTCAAATGGACCTCGTCATGTAGAGCTTGACAACGGCTTGTTGTTCCCAATCCTTTATAACGTTTTCAACGCCATTTTTGTTGGGGCTCTGGCTGAAACAGTCGAAATCATCGTCAGTGTAAAACCGTGTTGCTGACTGTACGATGTCTTCGCATATCTTAGCGCCTTCTTATGACTCGAAACGATCCCATACGCCAAAGCGTTCACGAAGTCGCTTGGCCTTTTCTAGTATACAGCTGAATGCCTCCTGGAATAAACGTGCGCCCTCGTTAACAGTTACCGTTTCAGGAACAAGCGTGAGCAGCTGGAATATCTCCTGGTAACATGGTGCTATGACAAATGCTTCTCTTACGTTTGCCCACCACTCGTCACAGTTAAGGCAGGAGGGTTCAGTGCCAGAGTTTGATTCACTCGTTGCCAGGCTATACGCTGTAACCAACTTCTTATGTACCTGTCTGCTTTACGACCCTTCCATTGCCCGCTGTTTTCTTGCCGAATAGGAGCGACGGCTTTTTGTCTTTACGACAAACGGCATCCGTAAGGGAGTTGTCTCAAGCCTTTTAGCAGATATTTCTTCGTTAATGTTATCTAGTACTTCACGTTCTTCAATGAAGCCTACCGAAGTGCTTGAAGATGAATCACTCAGCGTACAAGCTGAATGTGGCTCACCGGTGCGTAGAAAACCGTCCTGGCAGAGCTTATCCGTCGACAGGACAATAAAAGCTTTGGTTGGAGGCAGGATTATTTTCAAAGCATCTACGTTGAGGTCGGCTGCAGGCCGAAAATATCGGTTGCGGTATATCACTCGCATATGTTCTCAAAGTAGTCGGCCCAGGACTTCCTTCTAATGCTGAAAACTGCAACCATGACTGAAATGTGGACGTGCGAAATACGAGTATCCACCTACTTCGAAGTTCAAACCCGCGTCTTATTCCTTGCCCCGTTCTTTTGCGTGTATATTATCTCTCTCCTTCTAGTTTTCGTCTTTTTATTGCTTTAGAATCGAAGATTAGGTGAATATCATTGATGAATAGCATCATCGAGAAAGAGCGCGCTCTATCTAATTTCATTTAAAGGGAAAGGAAGTAAAAAATGCAGAAAAGGGGACGATAATAAAATCGGGATGAACGAGGAAAGCAGACTTTAGGGTACACGTACAAAATCAGACAGACAAACTTAAAAGAGATAGACGCCGACAAACAGTTCCTCTTTTGTGTGGTGCTTGCCTACCCGAGACAGTGGACTTGCCGGCATCTGTCAATAATTACAGCGGTCATAACGAGAGATGCACTGTAACCCCTGCATAAATAAGGTCCCGCGCGTTCGGATGACCGGCCTTATAAAGGCAAAAGTCTCCTCTGTATGTCTCGTCCTCTAGATGACCTCGACTAAACAGAGACAGACAAGTTTGCGCAGTGAGGTCCTCTGGTGAGAGGAGGATAGTAGAGGACAGCAAACTGGTCCGATACACAGCCTCGGTCGGAGGCACGACGTCAAGAAAGCATATCAGTGATTGTCTCAGATGTATCGTCTGAGACAATAACTGTTCTCGCTTGCGCTGATCAAGAAGGACCGGTGTTTGATTCAGTTCATTGAACAACAGAGTGCTTCTAACGTCAATAGCCGGTTTTATGCGAGAAAAAAAGACTGTTTTAGTATTTTTAGGTTGAAGACGATTCTCTTCAAAGGAACCTCTACGTGGCTGTCAGAAATATTTTGTTTGTGATTTATTAAACGGCGTAAATAAATTACAACCAGATGTCCAACTCTTTTGGTGAAACGTCGGCTGCCGCTTTCAAAAGTTCTACGTCCTTCCTACCAGCTTCGCTCCAGTCCATATTTTGTAGTAAAGGGGATCGCAAGAACCCTTCTCTAGCCGTGATATTTTAAGGCCAAATTACAAAGCAATACGAACAGTTTAATCATTGTTCTTTCTACCTATAACGGCTTTTGAAATAATAGTAAGGGGTTTAATTTATCCCAAAAACCGGACTATCGTATGTAACATAGGTTACATATTCAAGTTCACTTAACAGCACTTCGCTTTAGCGATTTAATCGTTA